TTTTCGAAATTGGCTTACAGGACCTGGATGGAAGCAAAAGCCTAACTGAGTTAGAACAGCAGCGGAAAGGTCGGTTTTGGTGAAAATATGCCTTTATTAATAAAATAACTTTTCGCTTGCTTTAGATAGAAGTTGATGTTGTAAAGCAATCTTTGACGAACTGCATCAGTCAATTTTAGCGTAGAAAACATAACTTTCCATAGGAACGCTCAATTATGAAAGGCAATTTTGAAATCAACATTTGAAGCTGCAATCAATAGTTTATATCCCTTTTTGAATCGCCACTTCAACTAAGTATTTTCCCTTTTTTAGAATGTTATCTTTCTTGATCTCATTGAAAAAAAAAAACGCTTCGTAACTAAAAATGTGAATTGTAAATTGTAGAGACCCTAGTAGATAGTGCTTGAGTTTAAGTGAGGGGAAATAGGAACAATATAGAAATTCTTAAATACCCCGATTTTCTTCTTTTTTCTTGCTTTTTTTCGTGACGCTTTAATGGCGTACAATAATTGATGTTTGAGCTTTAAGAATTTTTGATACAAAGAAGTGCCTATGATCAAAACATCATTATAGTCTGCACTTATTGTCTTATTGACAGACTTCCACTATTTCTTATATGGAAAAGCTCGAGGTGTTTGCTAGACGTATCCCTCTAGACGTCCGAATATAAGTACTACTACGGATTGTATCATTCAACTCATTCAACCATAGATTTAACCTAACCAAGTACTTTACTTACCTGTATGATAGCGAATGGAATAATAGCGGTGCCAAGTAGCAGATCACTAATTGTTAGAGAAAGGACGAGAAAATTCGTTGTAGTATGCAGTGATGGTTGTGATACTAACGCATACAGTACGAATATATTACCACATACGACAATTAAACAGACAATACCCATAAATATGCTGACATCCATTTCTGTAACAAAAAAAAAGAATTAAAATTTCAAAAGTTAAAATTGGACCGATGTACGACGACTCAAATGAGAAAAACTTCACAGATGAAGGCAGAGAGAGTTTCAGAGAGAGAATTAGTGCATTCCATCAAACATCTACTTGTTTATTTATTTATTTATTTATCTTACTGTACATATGTGCACTGAAATTTCAACAAAAAGCTTTGTACGCA